TCTGTTCCCACAATTTGAATAATGGTTGAGCAACATCTGGGTTTTTTGATCCTTGCCACAAAGAGCAACAGGACTAATATTATTTGGGATTCCTCAGTTGTAGCAGTTGCTACAATAAACTAGATGATGATTAATCTGCCCTTCTCCCTAAGGCCCCAGAGTGAATTAGAACACAATGTTAAAAACAATTTTAGGTTTACAATCACAGAAATGCAGTGGGCCCTAAAAATATATAGGCAGTGACCATTTTGTGCGCGTCCAGCTGATGTGCAACTGCCATAGCTGTCAACGTTTTCCTTTTTTAAAGGGAAATTCCCTTATTCCGAATAGGATTCTTCACAAGAAAAGGGAAAGGTTGACAGCTATGGCAAATGCTGGCACGTATGGTGCTTTTGGCCCTGGAAGGGGGCATGGGCGGAATGAGCTTTCGCATGACCACTGACACACACAGTGACCCAGAATGCAACCCTCCATGTAAACAGGGTGTTGCCTGTACAACTCAGCTGTCAAATGCCAGGTTCAAGGGGCGCCTTAAGAGAATCTTCAGTGAGAGAACCTAAGCTGATGCATTTTGCCCTCTCAAAACCAAAACAAAAAACAAAAACACCAACCTTTTCATGTAGACTATGGCATGCATGAGTCTATTGATTATGCAGACACCTTTGATTTTTTTCTCTTCCTTTATACTTATGGTTTGGATTATAAGGGTGAATATACAGGAGGCTGGTGCACAGGAAGAAGATTTGGCAATTCAGGGGGGAATTCAACATAGCACTAAGAAGCACTAACAGCACCAAGAAGAACACAAGCATTTCTGCTCTCTCCTTCCCCTGTGTGCTCATCTGGGAGTTCTTCTGACACCCTCTCCCCCCCCCCATGCCAGTTTAGGGTGTGTGTGGAGGAAGAGATGGGATGAAAGCCCCATTGTACTAGTGGAAGGCTTCTGCTGGCAGAGCTCATTAAATCTTGCCTCTGGTGCATAGGGGATGGGCATGCTTCACTGTATTGCCCCTCTCAGTTTTATTAGCAGCAAATCTGCCAATTTACGCTTCCACAAAGATTAGTAAGGCATATGTTCCTTCAATGCCTGTTTTCCCTGGCTTTAGTGTCTCAGCAAGATCTTTAGCCAAAGTGGCTGCTTGGTTTTCCTCAATCATATGGTGGTGTGCTTAGTTTCTTTTTGCTGCTGTACTGGGTTTTCGATAGGTTGGTTTATATGTTGGGTCTTAATTGTAGTTGTCTCCTTGGTGGTTTTTTAAAATTGTTTTTCAGTGTTATATTGTGCAAACTGCTCTGGGATTTATTTTTATTGTTTATGAACCACAGTACAGTACATACCTTAAATAAACAAACAGAGACATAATCCTATCAATGAGGGCATAGGGAGTTACCCCAGTGCATACTGTATATAAGGGCGTAGGCCAAGGTCAGCTTCACTCCCTCTTTCTCTAAGTGAAACACCTTCTCTTCAGAAGTAGAGGAAGTGGGAAACAGCAGGCCAATTAATGACTAATCAAGTTTTAATTCAACAATTTCCAAATTACATCTTGAGAGAAGTTCTTAATTTAAACTACTTTGAGAGAACTTGATTTCAACAATCAGGATTATGTAAATAATCAGGAAGTTTGGAAAATTCTTCTCACCTCTCTCTAATTTGACTAATGCTACGATATCATTATTTTTTTACCCTTGCCTCGCAGGAATCTTGACTTGCAGTCAAAATTAATCATCGCAGTAGATGTTGCCAAAGGTATGGAGTACCTTCACAATCTCACCCAGCCAATTATACATCGTGACTTGAACAGGTACAGTTCTTTCTTTCTTTTGCCTCTCGATATATTGCTCTTCATATTGTTCCAAAATAAATGCAGGAAGGCACCTGCTCTACAATTGCGAATGGCTGAAATGAGATCGCTGAACTGAAGATTGAAGTATTTTCAGAACTGAACCCATATTGCCTCTTCAGAGCATCTGTCTAGTCCATTTTCAAACAACTGGGTAGTGGATTAATCAGATTTGAAGCTGAAATGAAACTGCACATTCTGTAAATGTCCAGAAAAATAACAGTCATAATTTGCCATCCACAATGCAAAGCTTCACCTTAAGGGAAAATGAGGACCATGACACTGGCTTCAAGCAATGAGCACATTTCACTTCTGAGGATGCCTTCTTGAAGCAATAGTTCCAAAATGAGAGACTCTGCATCTGGCTGTTAGGAGTGTCAATTCTCACAGCCAGGACCTCTGAATAAGAAAGCTCATGGGGAAGTCCTGAGGCAGGAGAAGCACCTTCCTTCAGTGAAATTACCAGTGGGGCAGAAAGTAATTTAATAGTACATTACCCAATCTCTCAATGCATGTGACTAAAAAATAAGAGAGAGAAAAGATGTACATGGGAATAGAGGCAGGCCAGAACAAGCTCAGCCTTGAATGGCAGTGTCAATGCTAACCTGTTAGATGGTGCGAAGCAGAGAGGCTGGAAGTTTGGTTTCAAAACATGCAGGCAAAAATGGGTCAGCTGATGTCATTGTGATTGACAGGCAGGTTACCATGTGCCATCTGTGATTGACAGGAGGGCAGCCTGTCAAAATTGGCACATGGGGTGATGGGGAAGAACTTGGCATGCCAGCCAGACCCAGTTCTCTACCCTCACTGTAGAGCAAAGGACAGTCCCAACTTTCTATAAATCATATACAGTGGTACCTCGGGTTACATATGCTTCAGGTTACATACACTTCAGGTTACAGACTCCGCTAACTCAGAAATAGTACCTCGGGTTAAGAACTTTGCTTCAGGATGAGAACAGAAATCGTGCTCTGGCAGTGTGGCAGCAGCAGGAGGCCCCATTAGCTAAAGTTGTGCTTCAGGTTAAGAACAGTTTCAGGTTAAGAACGGACCTCTGGAACAAATTAAGTACTTAACCCGAGGTACCACTGTAATCATCTATAATCAGCTGTCCTTTAAAGCTTCCTAAAGCCTGCCCAAACTCCTTATTGTTTTGGGGAGAGGTGTGGAGGGGGAGGTAGTCTGTTTGCTGCTAAGTAACTTTACAGATTCCTGTAGGTGTCAACCATCCTAAGCTATTGGAAGAGTCTGAACTGGCTCTGACTATTGTAATGGGGAGATATGGTAGCCCACTGACTGTAGGTACATTACCTAGTCTTCACAGATCTGAAAGCCACTTACGGGTGTTTATTTTTTTTTTTTCCCATGAGTTTCATTGTAATAATTAATACCTAATTTGAAAGACATCAACTGTCTGTCATGCTTGAGATAATTTTGGAAGTAATTAATTCATCCTGATTTATTAACTCAGTGGGAGTGCAGGTGATCATCATTAGAACAGCCCTCAACCTGCTTGGGTTATTTGATTTCATTATAGACACTTACTGAAATAAAACCAAAAGGTATTGTTTTCAAGGAAACTTTGGTTTTGTTTCTTGTATTCTGAGGATATGATTTCTACAGGCTTCCTTAAAAACAAATCCAAACTTTTATTTTTTTTTTGCTTTAAGAAATACCACTGCTCTGAAATACTGTTCTTGCAGTAATTTCTTTAGAATCAGCTGAACAAATGGAATAAAAGGAGTAGCACACTTTGCACAGTTAGTTAAGAAAATATGCTTTTCTTGACATGTAAGCCATTGAACATAGCGAGAATTACTTCTCGCTATGTAGCGAGAATACATAGTGAGATTACATGCATGTACTGCACAAGTGCTAAATATATGCTGATGATAATGATATAAGTAATCCTTTGCTGACAAAATTAAAGTCAGGGTGGTATAGTGGTTAAAGTGCCAGACTAGGACCTGGGAGACCTGGGGAGTTCAAATCCCCACTTGACCATGAATCTCACAGGGTGACCTTGGGCCAGTCACTGCCTCTCAGCCTAATATCACAGGATTATTGTGAGAGTTAAATGAAGGGAGGGAGAGAAGAACCATGTTCATCACCTGGGGCTCCTTAGAGGTAAAGGTGAGGCTATAAATGCAACAAACAAACAAGCAAACATTTTAAGAGACAGTGATTTTACAATTCAGCCGAATATTGTTTTTAGACAGGTTCAGAATTTCTAGTTCCCAAACATGGTTCCTGCATTGGTTCCTACATTTGCAAGGGTTCTCTGATCTAATCGTATGAATGTCAAGGTTTGCACACATAGATGCATAACATAAGCACACTGTGCTTACAGGAATGCTATCGTAAGCCTTCTGAAAACGTGAGCTTCAGCTTCAAACTTGACTAATGGCTGGTACAGCTGGAGCAGGATCAGTGTCAGGAGACCCAAATCTGCTTTCCCAACTACTGCCTTTTGTACTAATTACAGTTCATTAATCAAATGAGGTGGAAAGCCTGTCATTAAGCTTTTGAATAATCATTTCTGAACAATTCAGGACTAGGATTCCTGCACCTGACAAGCAGTGGAAGTAGGAATTGTGTTAAGTGTGTGTTTGCTTGTGTAAAATGCTGGGAGATGCTGTCCACATAAGACCGAACATAGCCGCATTTATATTTGATTGCTGTATTTGTACATTTTGTTAAGTGTAAAAACTGGAAGCTGTCAACTCTTGTGCAGAAAAACGGCAAACTGCAAAATGCACCACTAGCGTGATGTTCCCAACTCCATTTCTCTTGTCTAGAAGGAAATTATGAGTAAACACGCTGCAAATCAAACTTCTACGTGTCCTGCTAATCAGTTCTCACCTCACACACTAATTTTAAAAGGTGGCATTGGAAAGAAGGAACAAGTGTTACAAAAACAAGAATATCTGATGCCTATCTTTCGACATACTTCTCTCCCCAAGAAGCACCCTCTCTGGTTTCCCAGAAGTCATGGAGGCCTGATGGTGTTCAACATTTCTGGCAATGGCATCCACCTGAAAGGTGCTGGATCTGACTTCCAGCAAGTTCTGGCTGGGAAAAAGCCCTGCCTAAAACTGTTTAAAATGTTTTTTCTCCAACTAGATGCAAAATACATTCTAATTTCCCACTGCACTCATTTCCTGTCTTTAGGTATTTATATCCTGATTAGTGGGCTTTACCTTTTGAGTCCAGATGCAAAAAAGTAGATTCATTATGAACTGGTGCCAACAGTTTTGAATGGCACATGAACATTTAAAATGACAGGCATCATGCAGTAAACATGGCACCAGAAACACAGTCCTTCTGAGCCCCCCCCCCCATTTTGTGTTTAAACCTACTTATTTAAGCATCCAAGTTACATTCACAACCCACAGCACCATCCATGTATTATTATATTTAGTACCCATGCTCAAAAATCAGTGTGTGAATGTCTTTCTTTCAGTCTTTGGGGTGTGGGAATCAGGGATCTTTTACATAATTTACTATCAGCCAAAAAATTTTCACTTCTGCATATATTTGCCTATAGAAGCAGTTTGCCTGACCTATGTCTCCTTTCTCCAGCACCTATTCTTCACTCCCAATCCTGTAGCCTCTCTGACTTTCACCTCCTGGCTTTTAAAGGCTCCCCCAGACCATTCTTCTAAGTCAGTTTATAGCCTCTCCCTTTCCAAGTGCCCACTCATCAGTATTCAGCCCCCCCTCCTCAGTGTCCAGCCAGTCCCTGACAGTGCTCTATATACTTACACCCAAGGTAAGAACCAATTCCAGTGTAATTTGTCATTCTGCTGTTAAAACATGAAAGCTAATGAATCCTGCTCATCACTACAGTGGTACTTCGGGTTACATACGCTTCAGCTTACATACGCTTCAGGTTACATACACTTCAGGTTACAGACTCCGCTAACCCAGAAATAATACCTCTTTGCTTGAACTTTGAACTTTGCTTCAGGATGAGAACAGAAATCGTGCTCCGGCGGCACAGCGGCAGCAGGAGGCCCCATTAGCTAAAGTGGTGCTTCAGGTTAAGAACAATTTCAGGTTAAGAATGGACCTCCGGAACGAATTAAGTTCTTAACCCGAGGTACCGCTGTATCAACTATTGAGAAAACTGTATGCTAGTCAAAAGAATTTGGGATAATTAAAACACCTTAACTAAAAGACAGACATTGCAGCATATCACTCTTATTTTAACTCATAAACACTGAGAGTGTCAGGACCTAGCCTTCTCAGCGACTAAGCCTCATTTATAGGTCTAACAATCAGTGAAAGTTTGTAAGGGCTGGCTTGGTGATATAGATAAAAGAGTCAATGGAAGCTCTGTGGTAATGGGGATGGTGTCCGCAATTCGTCTTTGTTATATATATATATCCCTCATGAAACCTTAAAATAGCAGTTGCCTTTCATTAAATCTATAGCATAGTAAGGTTAGAAGAATCTTTCCCTGACCCCATTTCTTTGGAGAAGAAAAACACATTTAATAGGCATTGCCTGTCTGTTGCCCTGAAAGGCAGAGTATCTGGCAGGCCTGAAGAACTACTGGATTTTCTAAAGGACAAGATTGATTACATGCGTCTCCTAATTCTTTTTTCTTTTTCTATTTCCCCCCCTTCTTTCTACTGTTTTCATAGAAATAATGGAAAAGGGTATTCTTGGCCACAGTCTTGAGATGGAGATGGCCTTAAGAGCAGGCAATTTAGTACTGAATCTGATGAACTCTTTATTAACCTTGTCTGGATTCTGCTGATTTTTCCCCCTCTTGTATTTCCTGAATGTGAGGCTTAAAGGGCTACATTTCTCCCACACTTACCCACCCAGGCTTTAAGTGTCATTGAAACAACAATGGTCCAGGAGAGTTTTCTTATTTCTTCTGCTTCTAATGGCTATGGTAGATTCTTTTGTCCCTTGATATCTGTGTACGTAAATATAAACAGATATATGGA